CCCACCGGCCGCTTATCAAAGACTCCCGGGCGGGGCCGCGCACCCGAGACAAATGTTCCGGATGCTTATTGTGCTCCGCCTCGGTGTTCGCGGAAAGGCGGCGCGGATCGGTTCCCGGCGCCGCGGCCGCCTCGGAGGGACACGGAGCCCGGCTGCTCCCCGGGGCGGGGGCGGGGGCGGCGGGGCGAGACGAGGGCGTCGCACCCGGGAAAGGCTTTTTGCCTGTATGTAAACCTGGGGTTCAGCTCAGCTCCTCCGGCTCGGGTGAGCGGCGTCCGCCGGGTCGCCCGGGGGGCTGTGTTCGGAGCTCCGCCCGGGAGGTTGGCAGATGCGGCGGCTCTGCTCCCCGGCTACGCCGGCTGTCCTTTAAAAACACTAGTTCACTGCCGTCCAGGACCCTCTTTTCAAATAAAGCATCGCTGATTCTTAGGAGCTTGCCAGGGCGGAGAATTTTTCTTTAATGCCCAGTGGGAAGGGGCGTTCACCTGGCAGCGTGCGACCGGCGAGAGCCTCGCTGTTCGCGCTTACACGGCGGCGGTCACGAGGCTTGCGCCGGAGCGTCGGGAACTTCACGGTTCTCGCTTAGCAGCTACTGCAGGGTCACGCCGGCAGTGCTAAAATGGAGGCCATGTGATGGGCAGAGTGTGGATTTGCGGGGACGACTTAATTTAGTGCTAACTGCACTGTGATGTGACAGCTGCATCTACCTTCGTCACTGGGGCACACAGGCAAGAAGCGTAGTAGTAAGTTTCAGGATGATTCGAGTTTGAAATTAGCAGCTTTAAAACGTTAGAAAATAACAGTCTATGATCAGTTGATCCTTACCCACCAAAGGATGTGGTCAGAAGTGTCTTGTGTCAAGCAGTTGTATTTCCAGAGTATGTGTGTTTGATGAAATGGAAGTTGAAGTGCTTGGCTTGACCGACCGCGCCCCCCTTGGCTGGTTGGGTGTTGTTTCCCCGGGGTTGCCACAGGATCCCGTGACAAGATTGGAATGCGACTCTTGAAGATTTCTTTGCCCGCCCATGAGAGGCGTAAGAAATTGGTTTAAAGATTTAGAAAACCAAGCTGCTGAACTGTAAGGATTTGGAACGTGACGCCGCTCTGGATGTGTGTGTCCACACTGATGTCACCATCAGATACAAGCCAGAGTTGCTGTGGGGTTTGATTCCTGGGACCACTTGTAGGAGTGGCGGAAATGATACCCTAAAGGAGAGGAGGGCTGCTTTGGAGAGGTCGCTGTGAAGGGTGGCGCTGTTGAGACGCAGGGGTGGTTTCCCAGAGAGGTGAGCCTCGCAAGTGCTCCTTGCAGATGGACTACCATATGTTTTATGTCTGGAGCCATATCGTGTGCCTCAGCACCCCATATGGCTCTGCACTTCGCTCAATTCAGCTGCAGCATATCTCGTTTCTTTTATTATAACCCGGGAATTGTGCTCCAGATTCACACGTGTAGTCCTGGTGTTGAGGAAACTGTGTTGAATGTGAGGCCTTTATGTCTGACTAATTAAAAAATGATGAAGTGGGGCTGGGGATTTAGCTCAGTGGCAAAGCGCCTGCCTGGCAAGCGCAAGGTCGTGAGTTCGGTTCCTGGTACCAGAGAAAAACCAAAATAAAAAATAAAAAAAAAAAATGATGAAGTGAAAGCTCTAGATTCACACATTCTTCTGCGCTTTCAATAGCTGGCATGAAAATACTGTCATACCGTTGTAGATTATCTGACCCAAAAAATAGAGAAATTTGTTAACTGCAGATTTTGAATTCTCCCCTTGGGGAATGGCTTTTGTTTATTTATGTAAACATACGTATATTTTTTGTTGGGGGGTGTTTTGAGTAAACCTCTGCAGTTCCTGTATGGAGGTGTAATGTGGGAGTTACTTGCTTGCTTCTAGAATTCATGGCCTGTTCGGCTTCAACCTTGAGATTGTTTCTGCTCTGCCTTGTCTTGGTACTTAGGGAGGCTTACTTTACCCCCTGTAACAGGCAGAGTGTGGATTGTCATACATTTATGAAACTTGGGTATTTCTGGGTGTGTGCTACAAATTAGTTGTCACACAGAAGCCTGCCATGGAGCTGAAATTGCTGACCTAAAAGCACTTTCTCTCTAGTTCACTGTTAGAAACCCTGTCAGAAGCAGGAAAAAACTGCTGTATTTTGTGAGTGATTTCTCAAAGCCGTCAGCATGTACCTGCTATGAAAATGGAAAAGTAGAGGGGGAGGGGAGGGGCGAGGAAGGAAAAAGGCTAGGAATCTAAATTTTGCTTCCCTGCCATCTGAGCAGTGGTGTCTGCATTACCATGCTGTTCTTACTTTTGATATTTTATGACTATTTGAAATAATTATAAGTAAGTGTATGCTTGGATGGATTTTTATAGACCATAAAAAGAACAAGTAGGCACTGTGAGTTTAGCGGAAAGTTCTTGTGCTGTCGTTTATGTGTAGTCTTAAGAACTGTACAAGACCTGCGGTGGCAAGGAAGGAAGATTGGAGGAAAGTCAGTGTGTCCTGGCTTAAGACGCAACCTGCACAAGGCCTCTAATAGCTCTTTGATTTTCCCATCTATAAAATGGCTTTAAGGCCTTTGGCAGTTTTGTTTGTGTTTGTTTGTTTGTTTTTGTTTTATGTTACTTGGCTGTAAAAAAGAAATAACTGAAAATTATTTGACCTGCTTTGGAGAACTGAGCCTTATAAGTATTGGAGGGACTTTTGTCAATTCTTGGCTGAGCAAGCATAAAATAGGTCAAACACATGAAGGTGATTTTGTGAGTTTTTAAAAATACGATTTAGTGATTGGTGTAAATCTAGACCCAAAAACTAAAATAATTTTTAATGTTCTCACTTACTGAGGTGAAAATAAATATACAGTGTGGCCTACAATATCTTTCCTCCTCTGTTCTCTGAAATTTAACAGTGGTAACACAACTGTCGTTAGAGGTTGTTGCCTGCCACTCTTTCTCTCCCAAGTAAAGTCACAAACAGATTGCAGGCAAAATTTAAAAGCAGTTTAACACTAAAAATATGAAGCAATCTTTCTAAAAGAATATTAGGATTAATATCCTTTATTAGATGAAGTGCTAAATCTCGATATTTTCCTAAAATTTGTTATGCCCACAACAAAATTCGTTGTATATTTAAGAATAATTAGCCAGGTGTGGTGACTCCTGCCTGTAATCCCAGCCCTGAGGGGAGCTGAGACAGGAGCATCTCAAGTTTAAGCCAAGCGTAGGCAATTGAGTGGCTTTAATGCCCTGTCTCAAAATTAGACAGAGGGGGTGGGGCTGAGTACGTAAGACAACCTGAAAAAGCCATCACAAAGCCCATCTTAGGATAGCTTCTTCATGTCTCAGACCTCCTCCACGGGCCTGTAGAGAACTTTCACATCAAGCTATGTCATGATTCATTTCTGCAAAATTTGGAGACGATAGTAAGAGTATTTCTCTTTTTCAGCAAGTCTTTTGTTCCCACATTATGGAACAGAATAGTAAGTTGACTGGCACACATAACTAACCTAGTGTTGCCAGTTCCTGTGAGGTTTGTGCGTGTGTGTGCTTTGAGAGATTTTGTGAATCATCATTTGAGAAGCTAGTGTCAAAAGAAAAATATTTTGACAATTGATTCTTTTTAAATACAGGCAGTAATGCCTGAGTTTTCATTATTTCATTTTAGCTTTGTTCACATCATTGGATTTTATGTGAACCATTGGTTTAAGGGAGAAAGTAAGGTTTTATGTACTGTAAGGAATTCTGTGCTGTGTAGTTCTGATTTTTTTTTTCTGAGGGAAATGTGGCTGGGATCATCTGTCTCTGCAGCCTAATTTCAGTGTTATGTACTTTTTTACGTAGTGTACCTGTCCTTCCAGTCTGTTTGAGAGCTAGGACCCTTGGGGCAACAGGTGTCTTAAGGGAGAAGTAAGCTCACTGTTTGGTCAGGTACATTAACAGCTTCTGGATTTTGTAGAAACCGGCATATCGTTTCTGTTCATGTACAGCTTGTTAGTACCGTGCCTGAGGAAGGGTAGAATAACCTCGTACCTGGATGACTGCATGATACTGTTAACCTGTAGTCATGCTACGCTCAGGTAAAGGTGTTTTCACTAATCGTGCTATAATGTAGGATTTTGCCCCTGCCTCAGGTACGGAAGCTTTAATCATGGTTTGGTGCACAGGGCTGCTCTTACAGTGCTTTCCAAAACAAATCACTTACGCAGTTTTCAAAATCAAAACAAAGTTCCTGTCTTCAGCTTTCCTTTAGAGCAGAAGAATCTTTGTTAAACTCTGTAACCAAGTGGCAACCTTGATAAAATATTTCACTCGCTATTCCTTTGTAATTCGGCCACGTTCAGTCACAGTGGCTCATGCTTTGAGGTTTGAAGTTAACCCATGGCGCAGTGGCACCATTTGAGAAACATCTGGGAGCGCAGTGCAACCCCACTTCTGAAGGCTTCTTAAAACAGGAGTATGTGAAATAGAGCCAGCAGTTCCCAGAGGCAAATGTCATTTTCTCATTTGGCTCAGGAAGTTATGAAGCGTTTATATGTTGGGTCTTATCTTCTTTCCCAAGGTGACTGCCAACAGCCGCCGGCCCAGTGTCGAATCCAGAAATGCACCACGGACTTCGTGGCCCTGACTTCGCACCTGAACTCTGCCATTGACGGCTTTGACTCTGAGTTCTGCAAGGCGCTGCGAGCCTATGCTGGCTGCACCCAGCGAACTTCGAAGGCCTGCCGTGGCAACCTGGTGTACCATTCTGCTGTGCTGGGTATCAGTGACCTCATGAGCCAGAGGAACTGCTCCAAGGATGGGCCCACATCCTCTGCCAACCCGGAAGTGACCCATGACCCTTGTAACTATCACAGCCATGCGGGAGCCAGAGAACACCGGGGAGGGGAGCACAGCCCTCCCAGTTACCTTTTCTGTGGCTTGTTCGGAGACCCTCACCTTAGAACTTTCAAGGATCACTTTCAGACATGCAAAGTGGAAGGGGCCTGGCCACTCATAGATAATAATTACCTTTCGGTTCAAGTGACGAACGTGCCCGTGGTCCCTGGATCCAGTGCTACTGCTACAAATAAGGCAAGTGTGTTTCCTTTTTTCCTTTACTACCCATAACTTCCAGAACTGTGGTCCTTCCGGCAATTTTTGAAATGTGATGCAGGAGGCCTAGTATAGAGGAACGTTTGTTTCTCTTCTTGGAAAGCAGTAGCAAATGATAAAAGAGATACAAATTCTTTAGTGTGGTACTTGCTCTGGTGTATAAAATAGAGGTTTAAATTTAAATGGGCAATGATACAAAGAATAGAAAGTCAACAGTGAAATTGAGTTCTCCTGGTAGAAAAGGTAGGCCCATTGAATGAAAAAAATGGGTGATATTTTTCAGCCTTGTCTTGTGGGTGGGTGGGTGGGTGGGTGTGAGAGAGAGAGAGACAGAGAGAGAGAGACAGAGAGACTTGAAGAAATCCACATTCAGAGATTCATCAGATGACAGAAGTGGGTGTTGTGAATAAAGCAAGCTGTAAAGCCTGAGGCAGTGATCCATCAGGGAACATTTTATTGGAGATTTGGAAGCTATAATAAGAATGATGGTTACAAACTCCCCAGTGGCAAACTCACAGTGGTGTGTTAGTTACTAACCTCTTAGTGATTAAGGAAATTAAGAATTGGTTATCACAGAGCAATGATAGGTAACCCCACTTTAACACCAGGGTCTCGGTTCAATAGTTTTAAGTCTGAAGCTAAGAGAAAAGCTGCTAAAATGAAGTTAGCCTACCCTGCCTGTCACGGAGTGTTGCAGAAGTGTCCACTGGGTTTCCAGTTGCCAGGCATTGCTAATTCAGTCATTAGTAATAAAGACAAAAAAGACTTTCAACTAAAACCGTGTCCCAAGTAAACCACCTCCGTAACTATCATCTCCAACCACAAAACCATACATGCAGTCACTGCATCTTGCTTTAATTTTCTGTATTTATGATATCTCTTCGTAAGTTGGTTTAGACTGAAATATAACTGACAGGGGTCAAGCTTTTGAAATACTTAACGACTGTTCTTTTGATTCCAGGACAGCCTCCCTTGCCACCAAACATGCGTGACATATTTTAAGTGAATTTAAGTTACTTTACTTGGCATTTTGTGGAGGGAATTTTACAGCACCTCAAGCTATCTGGAGACACCCAGGAGTGTCACAGATCTTAGCATCAGAAATCATTGCTCTGAACAAAGAAGACTGTTGCCCTGGTCCAGACGGTAGGGGAGTGCTGACATGTGTGTACTGCAGCTCCCAGGAAAAGTGCAAGCTTGCCTTTTGCCTTACAGAGCTCTTCAGCTCAAAATAAACATTTCTTCCTCTGGTTTTTATATGTATGCAAATATTTTTTTCCCACATGGACCTCAGAATATGTGCTTGCTATAAATTCAGTGCAGTTGTGAATCATTGGCGCAGTCATGGGGCACCTAAGCCTGAGCATCATCACTGACTGACTGGAAATGCAGGAAGGCGGTCTCTTGGGAACAGGGAAAGCCAGCATCAGTTACTCAGTCGTCCAGGACTCTGAGGAGTCACTTTCACAGAAGACCACAGAGACTAAGCAGAGGTGTGTGCGTGGGAAGACAGTGGTTCTTTTCACAGGCACAAAGTTGTATTTTCTGTGCCTTCCAGCCAGTCATATCTGTTTGTTATTCAACTTTTCAACATTCCGTTCATTTCACTGATTGTGATGAAAATATGAGGGGCATAACCTCATCAGGTTACGACCTGATGGGTATTAATCTTACATAAAGAGTGTACACTGAAGTTCAGATCATTCTATTTGAGTTAATTACTCTGTCATAATCTGTAGCCAGCATAGAGTGTGACTTTGTTTTCTCCCGGTTTGGTAAGGATCAAAGGTTTCACCCATTCCAAGGAGGAAGGGAAGAAAGTATTCCTCTGACATAAATTATGCGGACGATGAGAGCGCGTGGTTTTTTAATTGCACTGTTGGAAAGCGTTTTGCCACATCTGGTGACCATGCTGTTCAGCAGCAAATTGCTCTATGGTTTCACAACCTCTCCTAGTTGTTGGGTTTTTGTATTTTTTTTTTCCTTTTCCTTTTTGTAACTCCCCAGAGCCCCCGTGAGCATCTGGAAGGTTATTCTTGGTCTGTCTCAAGGCTGGTGTGACCAAGGCCAGTGAGACCAAGCCCAGGCCTGAAATCTTGCAGTGCAATCTCCTTTCACCCACCCAGGGCCAAAACAAAACCTTTCACAACCCTAACTATGAAAAAATGGTGGTGATGAAAATAAAAACAATATGAGGCAAAAAGTACTCACAAAACAAGTTTCCAAACAAGCTCTGATTTTTTTTTTCCTTACCCACTTTCTTTTAAAAAACAAAAAAAAGGTCGTGAAAGTGAGTCGGTCTCACTGAGCACTTGCACGGTGCGGAGGCCAGTTGGCCAGCTGTGCTGCGCAGGTTTACACATCCGTGCGTCTCTGCTGTGCAGGGCTAGGTAGGGCTGGCGTGTTTTGCTCAGTGAGGTCACTAAGGTGGCTCAGTTGGGAGCCTGGCTTCTTGTAGAGCAAGTCATCTTCACACCTCACTTGGGGATCTCTGCCTGCCAGTGAGTACCCCCTTCTCTCATCACAAAAAGATACGATGGGGAAGACGTCTAAACAGAATGAAAGAAAATGGAATCGTCTGTACTCACAACGCCGTTTTTTAGTTGAGCTGCCTTTTTTCTGCTGACAGGCCATGCGTTTCAGGCGGCGGCCTGCATGGTGTTGCTGCCTTGTCTGCCCTGTCTGCCGCTCTCTGCCTGCTCCCTGGGAAAGGCAGGGCTCGTGCTCCAGGTGGTCCTGCTGTGCACAGGGTGCTTTCCCAGGGCCTTCTCGCCTGCTGCGCTCCTGCTGTCTGGCGCAGTCCGCGTGGCTTGGCCAGCTCGCTAGGTAGATGTGCTGGTTCTTCGGAGTTGGTTTTTCGTCTCCGCAGCCTGGGGCTGCAGGGGTTGCTGGCACTCCTACACACCTCGGCTGCCGTCCACATCAGCTCTGGGCCATCTTCCCCACCTTGAGCTGTGAGGGCGGTTGCAGGCATGCAGGCACTGGGGCGAGATGAGAGGAGCAACCTTGGAACCGGCAGACTTGGTTACAGTGGGAGGAGAAGCAGGTTTTTCTTTTTTGGGATGGCAGGGGAGGGTTGGGAGAGCCCATGCTAGAGGCTCCAGAAAGGATGCGGGTCAGTGGCTTCTGTCCTTTCTCTTCCACATTGTCTTCGCCACCTGCCCAATGTCGACTTGAATTCACTCTGTGTCTGTGTTTAAACGAAGGCGCTCAGTGAGGACCTGTGTGTGCCATGACCGTAAAAGGAGTTTGGGGAGTACATTCTTCATTTTAGGAACCATTCTGTACTTTACCAGTGCATTCCTAGAAGCATTTATTTAAATGGCCAGGGCTAGGGGTATCGCTGAGTGGTAGAGTGCTTACCTAGCATGCGCGAGACCCTGGGTTGGATCTCCAGCACTGCAAGAGAAAAAAGTCTCCCACGTATATTTATACACCTAAACACTGCAGTATTTGTAGTGATTTTTCTGAGCAATTAATGGTTTCACTTTATTTTTCCTTCAGTTTTAATGTACTCATATCCTTCACTGCCATTCTAGCCTTCTTATATTATTCTCAATCTCAGTAAAACAAAATAAAAAGTAGGAGGGAAGGCTGAAGATGACGACAGATCTATTAAATGTCTTCCACTGTAACTGTACATGCTTCATCCTCGAGCAGGGCTTTACCACGGAGCAGCTCACATCTGGGGGAGGGCTGTGCTCTTGAGCTGAACCAAACCAGATGATGCTGGCGAGGAGCGTGGACCCCTGAGGTGCCTGTGTGCTCTTGCTGCTGTCCTGGGCCAGCAGCTTCTGTGACCCCGTGGGTAGCACCGGTGCCTGTCCAGAACACGGAAGGCAGCCCTATCCGTGGTAGGGGTCGAGTGGGCATTAGTATTTTTTGTTTTTTAATTCCACAATCATCCTTAAATCTCAAAGTTTGTAATGACTTTCTGGGCAGTGCCTGAAACGGTTCACTAGAAATATAGAGAATTTTAGTCGTGTTCATTTTTGGTGAATGTCTTCTTCAAACTGTAGAAGCCAGAGTTTTCCATAACCATTCCCTTGTGGGCTGTCAGAGCAGGAGGTGCTTCTGCTTCTTCCCGAAGCCCCTTAGCTTGAAGGGTTCTCTTTCCACAACAGCACAGGGCATGGAAAGGGCGCTCTGGGTCCTTCTGTGTTGGTTCCTGAATCAGAGCCAGACAAGCCTGCATTGCAAAGGCTTCAACTGTCATTTTAAGTATATCTCTGGATCAAGGTTTGGAAATCTGTCCTCTCTGGTACATTTTTTACAGCCAAGTTTTATAACAGATGTTTTTACTACAGAGTTCTCTCTGTGGAGACCATGTGAGCTACGTGGTAGTGATCTCTTTTATCTTTATAGAGTAAGAAAGATGTTTCTTCCTCCCATTGACAAAATTATGCCTTGAATGTGTGGGCACTGTTTTGCATGTGGTGTTACAGGAGGACACAACGGTATTTTCTTTGGGGACTATACAGTGTTCTCCTTTCAGAGACCACAAACTGTTGTAGATATATTGTACTAATCCTTAAGATCTGACATTTTTATTTGTATTATGATTATATGTTACATAGATAATTCTTGCCATGTCTTAGAGATCTGTTCCTGATCCTGATCCTCCATGCTTTACAAAGATGCCGAAAAGTTCTAAGACTGTTCAAGGCGTCCTGAGCACTGGTGGGAAAGGAGTCTGTAGTTAAAGCTCCCTGCTCAGTGTCATCATTCCTCTGAAGGGATCTGTGATTGCGTTGGTGTGGCATCTGTAGCACTGAGTATTAAAGGACCCACTCCCTGTACGTGGGAGATACAGGGATGGATGTAGCTTCTTCCTCAGTCTAAGCACATAGTGAAATACGCAGGAGTCTGTGGTAAGTGTGGGCTTTGTGCATAAATTCAGCTGTTTTCAAAATTTCTTTGTAGAACATTGATGAGCCTCATTCCTAAGCTAGTTCTGAGAGAATGCTTAGCAAGTTGAC